GTTGTACTTTTTTCCTTTTTGTTAATGACAAAAAGTGAGAAGTTATGATGATATGAAATGATATATGAAATACTAATGGTATTATAATGATGCATACAATTAGAAGTTATGATGATCATACATGGTATGGTATGATGTAATATACTTTGATATTTTGATACCATGATGATTTAAAATATTTATGATGATGCATGCAATACTTATGATAATAATGAATGCAATGCAAGGATATGCATATAATGTGTTACATATGATTATGATTATAATTGCTTCGACTTGAATTCAAGGTTCTATCAATATGACATATTGATAGGGGGAGTTTTGTTTAAATTCCATTATCAATTGATTGTCATCATAAAAAAGGGGAAGATTGTTGAATCTCGAATTTTGATGATAAAATCAATTGATAAAGTTATGATCTAATATGCATTTTGAGTGACACATGACTAACTTCGATCAGAAAAGACAAATCAATTAAAGTAGGAGGAATTGAATGTTAGACTAGAGTTAAACATGTCAGAAGATTAGACGTCGGGCCGAAGGATCGATCGACGTGCCGATAGAAGGCTTTGTGTCATGAGTTTGGGTATCGGGTCGAAGGATCGGACATTACGCCAAGGAGATCAAATGTTGCGGGTGTCAACATGTCAATTGGGTAATACGCCGAAGGAGAGAACGATGCGCCGAAGGATCGGAACGAAGCACCGGAAGAACCAGTGACATGTCGGACAATAGATGATTCATGCTTTGTAATAATTTATCTTGATCGAGTTAGTTTAGGTCATAATTGAGTTGGTTTAGGGTGAACCATTCCAACTCAATTATGGGCCAATTAAGTCCAAAGTGAGACTATTTTGGGCCAAGAGAAAGGCCCATTCAATGACCCAAATGTTGGGTCAGGCACTGGCACCGCCGATCCAAGCATTTGCACCGCTAGAGATTCAATCTCTAAGACACAATCTCTGAGATTATGTTAGGCGATAGCACCATTAGATTGGGTGATGGTACAACCCAATGTCAATCGGTGGTACCACCAATCTAGGTGGTAGTACCGCCCAAACATAATCTCCCAAACAATGTCAGGTAGTGGTACCACCAGTCTAGGTGATAGTACCGCCCAGTGTCAGTGTTGTAGGCGATAGTATCACCCAAGATAGGTGGTGGTACCGTCAGGACCTATGAAACCTAGGATGAGACCTTTTTTGCTCTAATTTTGAAGTCATTTGAGGTTTATAAATATCCCAGCTATTCCTGGAAGAGCACGAATTTGAGCAAAAGAGGAGGAAAGAATACTTGAGTAAAAGTTATAATCGCTCTAGATTAGTGAGTCACTTCCTCCTAAAGTTGTAATATCTTTTAGAGTTGTAATCTCACACCTCTCCTCAGCATGTGAAAAAGGAACAAAAAGTGTAATAGGGTAGTTAATCTTCGCTCATTGAAGGAAGATTAGTAGTGGAATCAGGAGTGGATGTAGGTCACGATGATCGAACTACTATAAAACTCGGTTTGCATTTACTTTAAGCTCTTTACTTTCATTTCAAATTATTTTACTTATTCACTACGCTTGCGAACGCTTTCAAGTTAAACTCTTTTCGGATATTGGTTTTAATCATACGAAGATTTCTAAATCGACGTAAGTTTTACGATATCACTAATTTACACCCCCCTCCCCCCCCCCCCTCTTAGTACCGACTCGATCCTTACAGGTACCACTGCCCAAACAAGTTCTAGGAGGCCAAGCCTCAAGCGATTCTACCGCTAGCCCTAGCGGTGCCACCACCTGACATGGCTCCAGGTCATTGAATGGGCTAAATAGTAGGCCAAATTCAGCCCTGATTAAGGTCCAATTGGCTCC